CTAATTACCTCTCGGTCTCATAGTCTAGCACACGGTTTATATTATTATTGGTTTAATTTACGCAATTCTTTCTCAAGTTCATGCATAAATCACTAAATCAATTGAAAGGTGATCAGACATCCAATGCATTAAGTTCAATAATATAAACTCCTCGTACAAATAACTTTAATTGAAAGCATAAAATCACTAAATCCATATTGAATTGATTAGGCTACATCATAACCTTAGTAAAATAAATCAGTTCATAATAAAAATAATAAAATCTGAAATCACAATTATGAACATAAGAATATCTAAGGAAAAACAAAACCTAATTTGAGGTAACTGAAATCTTTGATTTTCTTGTTGATGGGTCCTCTATCTTGAGCTTCAAGAGTGTCCAAAAGAGGGCTGCCACCAGCCTCTCAAAACTCTCCCTAATTCTGAATTTGGATGGGTATTTATAGGATTTTAGAAACTCTAATTGAAATAGAAGTAGGACTTGAAACAGAAATAAGAAACTAAATTTTGGATGCTGATCTCGTAGTGTTGATACTTCGGATTACGTGTTGACACAAAATAGAAAACAGAATCTGATTCTGGATGTTTAACGCATGGTGTCGACACCCCGATCATGTGTTGACACTACACCCGTGTCGGGTTTCTAGTCTCCTTTTGCAATTTCTTCAATGGTAAAATAGTAGATTTGGTTCCTGACTTCTGGATTCTGCACAAGTTAATCCTCAAGTCTCTGATCTCTTCAATTTACTTATAAAAAGTAAGATTTCTTCCAATTAAATCCTTTCATACTCAAAAAATGAAAATCATGTAAAATCAAACAAAATCCCATAAAACTCATCCAAATATCAATAATATCAAAGTAAGAATTTCTTATTAATATGTATATAAATTTGGCTCATCAAGGGACATCAAATAAATATGTAATAGCAATTTCCGTAATATTTTGTAAATATCCATATGCTCTGAAATGACTTCAGATTTTAAAATTTCCCCACCGATTGATCCCACAATGCGCGGTTGTCGCCGGGCGAACAGGTCAATCAGCCAGAGTGGCTCCGTTGGCATCTATAAACTCCAAAATCAATTATTGCCTGACTTCTTCTTCTTCTTCCTGTTTTTTTTTTTTTTTGGGACAATAACAATGGTTAGTAGATTAATTTTATTATATGTTAGCAACTGAAAATTCGATTTCCAAATCTGGTAAGCATTTCACATCCCTCAATGAGGTGCGCAGAATTATTGCCTGACTGTGACTTTACGGTCACATAAATTAAATGCGCATCAATTTACTATTTATTAAAATTATTTATACTTATCAAAAATAAATTTAAACATATACTTTCACGCATAATTTTCTTTTATTTTTAGTACTTTAAGAAAATAATGTATCAAAATTAATATCTAGATACGTAATAGTCATCACTCACAAATTGCAGACGGATCAAATGAACCATAGTCAAGAACAAGGGAGACTTGGAAGTCAAGAGTGCCGTGTCTCGTGGGTGAGAGACTATCATGATTTTAAGTTAAATATCAATTTTAGTCTTATAATTTTAAACTTTTGTATAGTTTTTGTTTTTCAATTTTTTGATGTATTTTTTTTAACTCTAAAAAATATACCTTTTTTAACCCTTTTGTCTATTAATTTATTAATTTTATCTAAATATATATTTTTAATTTCTTAACTTATAAATTTAGAGATTAAAAATGTGCATATATGTATAAATTTAATGGACTAACTAATAAAAGGACAGAAAAAGTGTATTTGTTAAAATTAAGTGACCAAAAGAGTATGTAAAATAATTAATAAATGAAAATTATACAAAATTATGAAATTGAGAGATTAAAATTGATATTTAACCATCATTTTATGTAGAGGGGCCTGTTTGGCTTAATATTTTGAGTGACGCAAGCTTCTATTTGTCGTTGAAGACTTTTCCACCAAATTTAGGCGTCAATATAAGGCAAGCTAAAAGGAGTGGGTGTGGTAATGCATCCCTCCTTTGATCCATAGCTTTCTCTCCATAAACTTGGTTTCCATGGCTTCATCAACGCTCGTCTGCAACATTCTAATGGCCATCGTCAACACCACAAGTATCATCGACACCCCAACTATCGCCGACACCCCAAGTATAGTCGATACCACAAGTAATCTCTTACTCTATGCGTCTATTTTTTTTTTTATTGAACAAAAAATATTATGTTCTGTTTCCTATGATTATAGTTTAGTTTTTAGTTTTAATTTTTAAAAATTTAAAAACTTAAAATAAAATTAACAAGTTTAATTTATAAATTAGTTAAGGCTCCGCTTAGTATAATTTGACTTTTTTATTTTTATTTTTTATTTTTTTTATATTTACTAATGCATATCATATTTAGACAAAACCCCCAAATCCACTCCTCAAATAGGAGAATAAGGACAAATCTACTCCTAAAAAAAATGCAA